TATATATATCTCGGGTGGAATTTGAGAGAACTCCTCAAGCTCTCATAAAGCATCACATTAACACCAAAAAGAACAAAATGATTATAAAAAATTATTCAAGCATTAATTGTTTCCTATTTCTGAAAAGAAATATTCTACAGTAAGTTTGTTTGTCGCCTCAGGTGAAAATAAGTTTCACTAAGTAAACTCGTCTATAGCGCACCCTCCCTCCTTTATACTTTTCTATTTTTTCTTCCGCCACCCAAATGATAGTAATCGAGTTGGCTAGCCAAACCTCTGTCAGCTCATCCTATACTTTGTTCACCTCGATTTGAACTCGCTCCAAACCAGCATAGAGGACTACCAGTTTCTCCTTTAAATCCGATATGGAGGTCTCTCTTTGAAGACTTACAGCCCGAGCAAGGGAATCCATAGTGTCATCCATATGTTAGATCAGTGACTAGTGAGACTCACTTTGGCCATTCGTTTCCCTTTCTGGGTCAATCGGACGAGGAGGGGGTACTAAAGATGGTGGTGGGATAAAAGCCACAGCGGGGGCAAAAGGACTGACATAAGCCTCAGGTTCAACAAGACGCTCAGCCATGACATGCCTAGATTGAATGATCTCTAAGGTCTCCCCTACAATGTTGGAGTCAGTATATAAGAAATATTCAACAGTAAGTTTGTTTGTTGCCTCAGGCGAAAATAAGTTTTCATTAAGTAAACTCGAATATAGCGCCCCCCCCTCCTCTATACTTTTCTATTTTTTCTTCCACCACCCAAATGATAGTAATCGAGTTAGCTAACCAAACCTCTGTCAGCTCATCCTGTACTTTTTTCACCTCGGTTTGAACTTGCTCCAAACCAACATAGAGGACTGTCAGTTTCTCCTTTAAATCCGATATGGAGGTCTCTCTTTGAAGACTTACAGCCCGAGCAAGGGAATCCATAGTGTCATCCATATGTTAGATCAGTGACTAGTGAGACTCACTTTGGCCATTCGTTTCCCTTTCTGGGTCAATCGGACGAGGAGGGGGTACTAAAGATGGTGGTGGGATAAAAGCCATAGCGGGGGCAAAAGGACTGACATAAGCCTCAGGTTCAGCATGACGCTCAGCCATGACATGCCTAGATTGAACGATCTCTAAGGTCTCCCCTACAATGTTGGAGTCAGTATATAAGAATAAAATTAGATTATCACAGAAGAGAAAATTTCAGTTACCATTCATATTGGGTAGCTTCGATTTGCAAAGACATGCTATATTAAGTGAAGGAGTACTACCCGTGCACTATCTCAGAACGAAGGCAAGGGTGGAACTTCTTATATTCTTGGAGCTTCACCTTGAGCAGCCTCCCCCACCAGAGGCTAGATCAAATCCGTGGTTGTTGCCACAATGTGCCCTTGTTCTTGGAGCAACAATTGTACCGAGATCTGATGAAGTGGATTAGAAGCCAAAATAATCTCCTCTGGAGTACACCAACCTTTTCAACTCCTAACTAGAGGCAATGGGTTGGATGATTCCTCAGCCTCTTCCACTTGTTGCTTCTTCTCCATAGGCTCCTTAGGCTGGATGAACTCTTCAAAATCGACCCCTTCAGTCGGCCTTGTTGTCCCAACTATTTTCCTCTCCACATCCGGTCTCTTCCCAGTAGGTCGACGTTATCCCACTCTCTTCCCTTGGACTAAATGAGAACTTTTAGGATTTTTCTTTTCATGTCTCTAGCAGGTCAAAATTCGTGAAACGGAAAGCCCAAAAGCCTGCATCATGACTTCTTCGCTCACTGGCTTCTTGGCGCCTGACATTTTTATTCACCAATATGGATGGTCAAAAGACAGAAAGTCTAGGTAATGAAAAAAAAGCATTAATCGCACTCTATGTATAGGAGAATTGCACAAAATCAAGGCGAACATTTATTGTCAGTACTTATGTAATTAATTATGACAATCAATTCTTTTATTCTTATGACAGCTGTAACTTTTAAGGAGGAAGTAAGAGAATTTGGGAACTAATTATGCACATTAAAAATATGATAACACGAATCTTGAGGAGACCCCACGAAACCCAAGAAGAAGAAGACTAATAGAAATACAAACATCCAGCATTGCTCCACTTGGACTTCATTCAGGACTGACCGAGTGAAAGCCTAACCGAGCAAGGGAATAATGCATGATGCATTGAAGATAGCCGACCGAAGGAGACACCTTTACAATAAAACCCTTCAAGGAAGCTAACTATAAGTCATTTGATCGGTCTATGTACTCATAATCGATCGAACGGGTAACAGGTAATTAGACCAGAGATTACGAACAAGAAACGACGTCAAACACAATTACAATATATCAAGAGATGCCAATAAAAGTTACATGGTCAATTTATGCCTATGTCAATTACTAATATACTAATATGCAAATGTGTAATGAGATTTATAAATGTTTGTAAAGTTTTCATGAAATGGGGACAATCACATAATTTATCATACTCTTCTTATAACTTACAAAAGAGAGGGTCATTTTCATAAAAGAGGAGGATTGAGCAAGTCCACAAAAAACTTAAGTGTAATTTGAGTTTATTATTCTCCTACTCCCTTTCCTCTCACTCGGTCTATGCTCTATTCCTTGGGCGTGATCCACAAGACAATTTGAGATTCAACAAATACAAACTTAAGTGTGTATAAAAAAGTGTCCTTAGTCAGACCCAAATTACTTGGATTATAACAACATCACCCACATAATCTTATCATAATTAATTGTTTGGTTTTAACAATTCTAACAACAAATCTATCAAAGTATGACAGAAATTATACTTACTCATATGTTAGAATAATTCCTTTTGATCTACAACAAGAAATAGGAAAAAATATTGGAAGAGAACATGCTACCTATACATCTTAGAATTGGAGACAAGAATTTAACAAATGCTTGTGGAGAAAAGCAACCATTGCCGGTCAGAGGAGTAAGAGGGAAGAATGAAACGAAAGGGAAATTGGTTGCTTCATAGAGGTGAAATGACTCTTTGCTCCTACATGTTGTTTGTTGTCTTAAGATTGAAGAGTAAGGTAAAGTCTTACAATATTGGCTTTGAGTATGGAAAGAGGTTCGATTGGGAAGGAATTTGGTGGCTACAGGCAAGGGGTTGCAATGCCATCGCTCGCACATTCCCTTTTTGTGTAGATTAGATTAGGGATTGTAGGCTCAATCCTTAATTTATTATGAAAATTGAAGCGGAATAAAACAGGAATTGACACAGACCAGAAAAAATACACAGAATTTTAACGAGGTTCGGCAAAGAATTGCCTACGTCCTCGGGAGCGAGCGGCAGTTTCACTATTTCAAAGAAGTTACAATTTTCATCCCATAGGGTTACACATATATATAGACATATACAAATCCACAGATAAAATTACAATCACGCCCTCGCTCCCCCCAACCCTCTTTATTCTAAGAGACACTCCTTTTCACAAGGAGACACACATCTTCACCAAGAAACTCCAACTCTCTAGATATGAGTCATTCCTAACATAATTAACATATTTTATCACGATAGTGTATATATTTCTATAAAAATATTTTAGCCTACTCAATATTTTATTACAAAAGTTTAATGATAGCTTAAATTTTGGATGTGATAACCTGAAAATAAATGAGTAAATAATAGAATGACTACTATAAAATAAAAAAAAATTAATCTTAAATTAATGAAAGTTGATAGGTTGGAATGAGTTTTAATTAATTCATTTAATCAAATATAATTGTGATATAATTTTGTGTAATTTAGGTACTCTACTAGCACCATATTATAATTAGAGTTTATGAGTGCAGTTAGCTTAATTTGCAAGTATTTCAAATTTATTTTAAACTTTAAATTTAAATATAATCTATTCAATAAAAAGGTCATGAATTTATTTTTAGACTTTAAGATTAGACTTTCTATATTAGTGCAAATTAAAATGTAATCTATGTGCTATAAAGGGAGCCCCTCTCCCCATTTCACTCCACACCTCCATTCATCACTTCTTCTCCACTGTCTCTCCCTCGTTAGCGATGGAGTTGTTGAGCAGGAGCTTCACTTTCTCTGTAATAATCATTTATCCATCTGTCCCCAAAATACTCTGCAGATTACTTTTTAGTTGTTGATGTATATTTGTATGAATTTTTTCTTGTTTTTTGGTTCGCTCTAACCTTCAAATAAAAGAGGAAGATGAAGAAACAGAATTTCCATAGTTCCTGTTTACAGATTTGTCTTTTCGTAAAAGAAATCACTTTTTTTTTTCCTCTCTTATCTTAAATCCTCTTAGGAATGTTTTTGTTGATGCGGAGAAGCTATCACTTTCCCTTTCCTTTTCCCCCATTAAAAAACTCCTCTGTTGCAGAATATCAAGAATAGATGTCAGAGGCTTAATAAACTTCCTCTCTGTTGCTCCAACAAGAAAAAAAAAATGTCTTCTTTCTTGAAGAAAAGTTATGCTTTCAACTCGTTTTGTCTCCGTTTTCCATCTTATCGGCGGAAAAATGTGAAATTTCTCGATTCTTTCGGCCAAAGATGCAACCTTTCTCAATCCTAACACCCAAGTTTCCACTAAAATTCGTCTTTATTTCCACAATCCCAGGAAAAGAAAAAACATTGAAAAAGTATAATTTTTTTTCCTGTGTGACAGATGCTGCCGATGATATGTCTTCTAGTAATGGCGGCATTCTCTCGCACAGCGGAATGCCGGTTTCAAACAGGCAGTAGAGTTTCGGCAGGCGTTGGGGGACCGGCGGCTGGGGAGCGGGAGTACGAGGCGGACGGGT